ATTGTGAGGTGCTCAACATCCTTTATATTCACCTCTTGCAAAGCAGGTGGGTGATACAGCTCATTCATATGATGCTCATTTTTGGACGTTATGGATTACACTTATAGATTGGTTGATAACGTCTTGTATCATGTCCAAATCATTTCTACTTGCACTTCCCGAAATAATCTTATTTTCTGTAAAATGTAATTGTTTATTAGCATCATTGTTACTTCTTCATCTAGGTTACCCCAAAAGGTTTTCCCGAGAAAATGCAAACTGATGTTGCAGGTACGTGGCATCTAAAATGAATGATGACAAGTACAGTTGCCATCTAGAGCATTTGTTTCGTTACGGAATATTGCGTTTTGCTTTATCTTTAAATGCACAAATAGCCCGTTCCTGGACGATCCTTTTGCTTTTTCAAGTTCAGCACACAGTTTCATTGACTTTTTTTTCTTCTTTACCTTAATCCACCTCTCGTGTGCGCTTCGAAGGTGAACACTTCATTCACTATTTTTGATTAGTTCAGATATTTTGCAGCGATAACTTCTGAACAACGAGTTACGAAAAACATTTGAATTGAAAATCTGATAGGGTTTTTCATTCCCTATGAAACTTGTACCTTCGTTCTCCTCGCTGAAATTTTGGTCGTACCATAATGATTGCACATCGTAGCTACCAACACTACTATTNTTTTTTGAGAACTTTCTTGCGGAAAATTTTCGGCAAAACATTCCAGTCGAAAATAGGACGTGATAGAGCTTTTCGTTCTCTACAAAACACATATCCTCATCCTTCGTCCCTTCCGTTCTCTAAAAAACATGTACCAACGTCCCTCTGTCCAGATCTCAGTCGCGTGATATTTTCAGCTCAAGTCTTCTCGCCGTGCTCATTTCCAGCCCACTACTCTGAAAAACCTACCTACTCTGTTTGTCTGTTGCTCTGACGTTTCGGCAAACTTTCCCGACACTCTTATCTTCAGAATGGGTGACCGACAAATACGTCCGCGACAAGTCTAAACTGCGACAAAAATGATGAGGCACGCGCATGCCACTCAATGATAAGGCACATGCGAATTGTCGGAGTGGCACCTTGTCGCGGAGCATATTGTCGTAGACTCTTCTGAATTACTGAAAGACGGGTTTTATGCATGCTGTAAAATTCATCAGTGTACTTGCTGGAATGCTGCTAACATTTACGACTTGTTCGTGAACTTGAGGGATCTGGCCGAACTTGGCGATTAAGAGCGAATGATTCGTTGTGTTTGCTTGGTAGCGATTATTGATGACTCATCGAAACGAGTAGTTCAGTAGCTGGTTGCATCTTTCCATTTCCTCACCGCATTCAATTCTCTCACTACTACTAGTATCCAAACAAGCGAAAGCCTCATTTCGATATGCACTTATCGATTTCATGTAATCCTTATAAAACAAAACTAAAGCGTGTGTTTGCTTCGTTTACTAGAATTGTTTTTTTAATAATTTTGCTTCCTTACGAACGCTACGAAGTTTCAGCTCATCATCGTTAAACATTTACTATATCTTGATATTCTCGTCCAGTTAGGTTTTCCAGAAACTGATTTCAGTCGCATAGCGTTGTGCGATAATGCCACCAACTGGAACACTCAACTTGCCGTTATACCCGATCACATCGGTGGCAGCGGTTGGAACGAATGCAGACGATGAGAAAATTTGGTAATTACGTCTAAAATTCTTGATTCATAAATTCATATATATTTGATGAATTTCACCTCATCACATCACTCATAATTTCACTGAATGCTTTTATTTGAGGACTCAAATTCTCTCAGAAGTGAGTGCAAAAGGTACGAACAACGCTCCACAAGGTTCAGTCCTTTTTCTTGGTAAGTTGAAGCTTAAATATCTTGCAAAGTTAAAGATTTGCATTCTGTTTATGTGTTTCTTGTTTCTTTACTCAATCTCATTTGATAGGTGATCGTCATAGTGGTAAAAGTTGGTTGCTGAGTCGACTTGAGAAGCGTGAAGTCTCTGCGAAAGGCTCTGCATTGGAATATCACTTTTTGAACGTTCATGCTGACTTCCGAGATGCTAGTTATGCGTATCAGTTGAGCACTGCAGGTAGCATCATTCATTATTTACCGTTACCAGTCAGTGATGGTTGTAAGAGGACGGTTATCTTTTGTGGTTGATTTGGTGGAAGAATGTTTATTCTCTGAAATCTAAAAAAACGGCATCAAAAACATGTTCGGCAAAAATGTGAGTAATTTACGAGAATATTTTCATGCAGTTCAGTGTTCAGGTGCAGGCGTTGCACCCGGTGAGACAGTAACGTTGCCGGTGTGGATGCTGGATGGAGATGAGTCATTTGCGCCATTGGTAAAATTCGCATTAACCCAGTCCTTAAGTCGGACTGTTGTGGTTCTGTGCGCATCACTCACTCAACCGGGTGCCATTCTATCGTCATTGAGCAAATGGTCGAAACTGATCGATGCTCAGATTCAGTCCATGTTCGATAAGCAAACAATATCGGAAGCACGGAAAGCACGTGGGTCTCTTTGACTTTGTTTTCTTTTCTCTCATTCGTCTCAAGTTTCATTCATAATCCGGTGAAGGAAACGTCAGTGCATATTAAAATGCTGATCAGCAGCACAAAAAATTACTTGCATTAATCGGTTGTTTTTTTTTCGCTGGATTGTTGCAGCACGTGAGTCGAACGCTCATAATCTTTTTTATCATTGTCAAACACTTCTATGCAGATGCGAAAGTTAACAGAAGAGTTGATAATTGAATGTTGTCCTATGAACAATTTTCAGAAGAACTGTTTTGGCAAGAGTATGTTGAACCGTTGGATAGTTCAATGCACAGCGATAAAATACCATCAATGGAAACAGAACAAGTTAGTGTTGTCGTAATAGGCCATCCATATGTATTAAATGAGATTGTGTAAAGTGTGTTCATTTGTGCGCTTTTGATGTGCTATAATGTTGTGTCTGTTGTGGTTCTGTGTGCATCACTGCAACAAGTGACAGGAGTTCTGTATGCAACACGAAACACTTCAGAGTCATTGTTTCAAGGTGTTACTACCACTCGATCAGAACATTTTGATACGAAACAGTGGTGTCGCCTTTGTGGTCGTATTAACCAAATGTGATTTGGCTCATTCGGAATTGAACGACGAACAACTGGATCGTGTACAGTTTCATATCAGGAAATTCTGTATGCAGCACGGAGCTGCACTCGTGAGTTTTTCACTTGAGTTCGTAGTATGGGTTGATGTTTGTTTTGATCTAGCCGTAAGAAATTTGTCATAGTCGTTTAAACTCTTAGAAGGATAGATGCTGAACTGAATCGAATAAATAATGATGGGTGAACTAATGTGATAAAGTTTTGAACACTTTAGAATGAAACACTTAACTGTCATCAGTTTCACAGCTCGGATTTTAGGTGTACACATCGGCAAAAGAGGAGAAGAATACTGCATTATTATACAAATACATTGTACATCGGGTGTGCGGAGTACCGTTCACAACACCAGCGCATGTGGTAGAAAAAGATGCAATATTTGTGCCAGCCGGATGGGATAATGAGAAAAAATTGGATATTATTAGAGAGACTATCAATGATGCTGACCAACCATTGGAGGTTTGTTCGAAATTTCTCATCATTTTCACAAAAATTTGATCGATGAATCCACTGAATGATAGTTGTTAAATGAATTTCACTATTAGATGCCTCGTGAACGTCAACAAGTTAAAGAGCACATGGTGGAAGCAGAAGAAGAGCAATCATTTCTCCAGAAATTAGCAAATGTTGAGCAGGCAGCACCCAAAAAGACTCCTCAACAGAAACCACCAAGCGACGGTGCCGATGGGAATTCACCACTGGTTTCATTCTTCAACAATTTGTTGAAAACCAAAGAGGGACAGGTAAGGACGTTTTTGATTCGCGCATTTTCAGTTTGATTCAGAGACTCGTTTGTTGTAAATTCGAACGCTGTTAGTGTATTACAATCTAGTTTAAATACAGCGTGACTGCAGTCAAATTGGCATTGTGACAGTTGGATGAGGGCATTCGGTTGCAATCGTGTTGATTATATTTTGAATGGAATTGATCGGTAAATGTTTTCAGACGGCTCAAACAACAAGACCTGTGGCTGATCCTCAAGCACAGTTACAACGAATGCTTGAGCAAGTGAACAGTGCCGCAACTGCAAATCAATCACCTTCACACGAAAGTCAGTCATAATCGTTTGTTTATAATCGATTTTCGTGAAGTTGAGATAGTTCATCTCGACGATATAATCAACTCTAATGTGAGCAAATGCTGTATCCCATTCGTCAGTTTCATCTATGTTCATCTGTAAAAGAGCAATTCTGTTCATAATATTTGATTGAAACTCATCAGTAATGAAATTCCTACTTGTTTTCGAGGACTAATCTGATTTTCCAGCATATACAATATCTTGATATGGTTCTTGAATTGAACTGAAAGAACTTAGCTAATGGAAATTTAAAGCTGAAGCAATAGCTCAGAAAAGTTTATTTCATTCGCGAGATGAATGAAGTTCCTTTTCCATCTCCACACATTGTATAAATTTTCAATAGAAATTTTCTCTATCATCAAAATATCTTTTCATGCGATTATTTGCTTACTTTTTCTAAAATTTCTTCAATGATAATATTTGTTTGATTGTTTTTAATCCGGGTGTTATCTTATTGACTGTATTTTCTTCTTATAAACGTGTTTGCGCGATGATCGCTGATAATATTTTGATCGTTTGCGCAGTCTTCGCTGGAATTGAACATCTCTCTCTNNNTATGAATTCATCACAATTCAACCCTGGTTCTCTCCAGTTTCTCACAAATGCTTCTGCAGTTATTCGGAATAATTGTTTTCGGTTTCTTGCATATATCTTTATCTGTCGCATCGATCAAGTCGATTCCAGTTTCATCTCTAATATTTTTACTTTATCAAGCGCGTAATCTCGAAATTGCAATTTCATCATTTTGACGATGATAAATAACGGCAGAATAGAATGTAATCTGACATCAGCAATTGTTTAGAATTGAATTCTTCTTGAATCGATTCAATAAACACACTTTGAATTGCACTGAATGGCTATGGTTATTCGTGCCACAGCAAGAAACTCTCGTGAATCTCAAATTTCCTGGTGTGTGCGCGAAGAGGATTTCGTAAATTGCCTTAATAATGCTGAGCTTGAGGTGCAATGAGCATATAAGAAAAGTGGACAAATTCAGAATTTTCTTTGACTTCACGACGACGAAACCGTGAAAACATTCATGCTTATAAATTCATAGAAAACATTTATATGGAGTACTGATTTAGAGACCCCTTGAACACTTCATAAATATTATTCAGAAAGAATCAAACAAAACAGTG